TGAAGGAATATTATGCTAAACCCTGCAGGTGGATTTATTCCGGCATAATATGGATGTTATGAGCGAGCGCTAGCTTCGGTAATATAATATATTAATTAATTCTTGATTATTAGTGATTGAATTAATTAATGGACATTATATCTTAAACATGGGGAGGTAAATCGGATAATTATAATAAAGAGTCTCAAATGTAATTTGGGATAGGTGAGGGGAGTGCAATAATATTATTGTGGTGGACTTTAATATTATTAATATATTAATTGTGGGGCTTACTCCACAGTATTAATATATTAGAAGCCCTTATCCTATTCTCCTTAGGGTCCCTACTGTAGCTCTATATATACAGCATTAGGCTCATGGAAGAGAGGAGAACAATCCCATAATCCTTGGTAAAAACGTCCAGCCCTCTTTCCCTCTCTTTCAAGGAGTTCTTCTATTTCTTGTGTTCCATTGATACAAGATCTAGAAAGATGTTTGAGAATACAGTAGAAGATCTTAAGGTATATAGAGATTCCAATCATACATCCAAACCGGAGACCAAAACCAGCAAGTGACCATACCACGACGACCAGGATGACGAGACGAAGAGATCGCCGTCGAGATCGCCGCCGGAAGCTGCCACACGCGCCCGCACGCGCCACCAGAAGGTAGCAGCTGCTGGGACTTGCACCGGCGCGTGAGAGAGTGTGAGAGGTCCGTTTTCCGACCAGTCAACGCCGTTGACTTCGCCGTGACGTCAGCTTTCTGGATTGGTCAAGTTTGTTCGATTCCGAGAAGATTTGATTTACGGTCAACTGTCCGGGCCAGCCAGATCAACATAAATTTTAAGCAGTAAGTTTTCTTCATCAAACCTTTAGATCCGCTGCGCATAGGTTTATGTTGAATGTTTGTCCATGATTTGTGCATATCGAGATCCTCTTGGGTTCCAACAGCGGGGCACTGGGACGCGTGCATGTACCCACTCGGATACCAGCTACAAGGTCAAGATTTGGCCATACACATTGACCTGAGGAGTT